GGGTTGTCCAGAGAGGTAGTGGAGGCCCCATCCCTGGAAACATTCAAGGCCAGGTTGGATGGGGCTCTGAGCAACCTGATCTGGTTAGCGGTGTCCCTGCTCACTGCAGGGGGGTTGGACTAGATGACCTCTGGGGGTCCCTTCCAACCCAAAACATTCTATGATTCTATGATCTGTGATGCAGTGTCTTGCCCAAATTACAGTGCTAAAGATCAGAAATGCCAAATCTCTTTTTTCAGAAAACTGTTAGGAACACAAGACAACCTGTATGGAATTTGCATTACTACAGAGATGTACTGGAGTTCTAAACAAACTTACCATGAAAAAGAAAAAATATTACCAGCCTAACAGCACCATTTTAAGAGACTTTCTTTCACAATACAGATAGATTTCAAAACTTAGCATTTAGAAATAAGGATAATTGTGGGTTGTATGGTGTCTATAAGAAATCCCTTTACTATGTAACTAGCATGTTGGTTGTTTCAGCTTATGTTGTATCGAACAGGATCCTGTACAGGAAGAGATACAGAACTCAGAGCAAGTTGCTGCTACAGCAGTTAAAGACGCTCCTGTAGCTTATCAAGAGTTTACGTTTCACAATTTTCATTTGGCAGACTGATTCGTCATCAAAGGTGTTCTTATATCTGTTATTGGACCTTTAGGTCCACCACTGATACCTGTTTGCCTGTCTAGTAGTATAAAAACATCTTTAAAAAAGTGAAGCTGTCTTTGGAAGAAATAGAACTTTCTTGGGCTCAATGAAAACTTAGCTTTTAAAATATAATTGTTCAATATTTCTGGTATATTTCCTGAGATTTATTTGTAGAATATCTTTTGAGATCTCTTTTGATCTAACTCTCGCATTTTGTTTTTTCTGGATATTATTAAAAACTACAAATATTTTACTTTAAATTTAGACTAGTTGCTTTATTTTGTCTTGCTGGGCAAGAATTCCTCTATTCTTTCTCTGCTACTGGAATCTTTTTCACAATTTTTTTTTTGATTTTCAGTTTCTATCTGTTGCTCTAGGAGTTATGATTGTAAGGGCAAATTTATAGCATTAGTCTTGAACTGTAAATAGCTACGCATATGGTTATCTATGTCATTATGCAAATCTCCTTTGAAGGCTGTGAGGATATTTCTGCCAATAAAGTTAAGTATATTTGTGATTCCTTGCATGAAGGTGCCAGTCCTACAGAAATACATAATTAATTTTGTGCAAACAAAATCATATAGTTCTTTTGATATTGATTATTCATAGAGCAAGAGGTGTAACTACAGCTGTAGGAAAACTGTGCAGCAAATGGAAGGTCTTTAAATCAGGTGAAGAAAAGGGGATAACAAGAAGAAATCCTCATTTAAAAATTGTTAGGATAAATAAGCTATTGATTTTTAATAGTAAGAGCACATACCACTAGAGCAAAGGGGCATGATGGCTCTCGCATCTCTTGGCTTTAGTTAAATATAAGTTAATTAGCTGAGTTACAAGAAATTTGGTAGAATTTAGAAGAGGCCTAGAAAATCTGGAAAATTTCCCTGACCTTAAAATTTGTACGTTGATGAGTAAGTTTTCACAAGGTTAGTGGTTGAAGGGCTAGTACCCACAGTGCTAGTACTTAGTGAAGATAAAATATTTGGGTACCTGTGAAAGGAAATTACCAAATTACTCAGATATATTTATTAAGAAAATTGTGGCTTTTAAATTTCAGAATATTTTAAGTATTACTTGTTTTTCAATAATAATAATGCTAATAATTTAGAAGTTTATGAAAATGTTTTTGTGTCTAGATACCAGGTGTATTTCTGCTGAATGGTTTTGTTTGGGTTTTTTTTTGTTCTTTTGTTGATAGTCTTGTTAAACATGGGGATGTGTGCTTGGAAGCAGGTGAATGTCCATGTTCATGGAAAGGAAAGGAATATTTTCCAGGTGACAAAGTGATTTCTTCTTGTCATACATGGTAAGCAGAGTTCTATTTAGGTGATTATTTCATTTAATTGTTTGTTTATGGATAGATTATTCCTTGATGTTTTGTAATCATAGATTTCTCACCAGATTCTGGTAAATCATGTACCCTAATTTTGTATTTACATCTGTTCAAAGAGCTATTAAAATGACTTTTTTTTTAGAGTTTGTTGTTTCAGGGAACTTGTATGTAACAAAATAACAGCTATTTGGAAATTAAAACAAAAAAGCTTGCTTTAAAAAAATCATTGTTTTATCAAGGTAATCTAAATTAATATTCCTTGGCCAGTGTTCAGGAATTACAAGTGAAATCATTCAAATCTTACACCCGAGTGACATTTGTTAAAGCTTTTTACTTACTCATTTTCATGTTTAGCATTGAATCTGAGCAGTCTAGGACCCAAAACGCTACCATGCAGCCACAAGTATACGCCTGCTACAATGGTAAATTAAGGAGAGTACTGAGCAACATCGTGTACTGAGCATAGTAACAGATGAATTGGTTGCTAATTTTGCGTGTGTGGATAAGAACTCATGAATCAATCGGTTTTTAAAGGAAATGTTCCAACACACAAGGGTTGATAGGATCACTCAAATATATGCAGAAACCTATTCCTTTTACTATCCAGCGTTGTAAATGCAGCATGTACCCTATAGCTACATTACTCTGCAAAGTTTCCTTGGGCACTCTCAGTAGAGAGACTACCATTTCAATAAGCTTCACGAGAGCTTAGATGTGAAAATATACCACATCTGCATGATCCTGGAACAGACTTGTTTCCTCATGGTCCTCTCCTGTTTGCTTCTGTGACCACTGTTGAATGTTGCGACCTGGCACTAAGCAGCACTATTTGTCTTACCAGAGCCTCAGAAAAATCAGCTGGACTGTCAAGCATCAAGATACTATGGTAGTGGTGTAGTGTCTAGCTTCCCAGCAGAGCAGTTCCTTCCTTTTTTCCCCTTCTTTTAGCTTACCAGGAACATTTAACTGGTGCCACCTGGTAAACTACTGCTCCTGGCCTGCACAGCTCAGTATAGCCTAGTACAGTGAAGGCTTGTCCAGTCAGCACTAGTCACTGCCTTGTCTGGATGTCGTTGCCCCCTCCAGCCTTGTGCTGACTGCCTACCTCTGCCTCTCGTCAGGTCCTCAGTATCTGCTCTAGAAGATATTTGTAGCCATTTGGTCGACTGGTGAAGCGACTTACAAGCCATCTCCACTGGGCAGGCAGGTAAAGCGACCCGGGTTATTCACCCCCTTATTTCCAAAGGCCTCTCCAATTGGACCTGGTGTGGGATTGCTTGCATCAGAAAGAACTGTTATATCCCATTTAATCTGTATGAGACTTCACCAAAGGCAGCAGCAGTGCAGGCAGAAAGACACTGGATATTTAGCCTTCTCTTTTTTTTTTCTGAGGCCAGGCCCATTAATTCATGTACAAATCCTTAAGGTTGTCAATGGCTTTTCTAGTCTTCCACGCCCAGAAGCAAATTAGCAAACAGATTAAGTGATAATGTCTTTTTGGCAATCATTTATCCACTGGCAGATGGGAAGTCTGCAACAAGCCCTGTCTGATACAAAGTGTTAGAAAGTCTTTGAGACTGCTGTGTGTGTATGCAAGGGTGTATTTGATGTGTTAAGGGAAATGTGCATTTTTGCTTGTGCAAAGCATAGTACTCCTGTGCAAAAAACCGCACTTAGGCACTCATAACAGTTATGATGACTTTAGTGTTATTTAGTGCACAGAAATAGTGTGCATTGATATTATACATCATCTTATTAATATCTGATGTAGTATTAGCAGCACGTTAATCTGATTTGTTTATTGAACGGTAAAATGACAAAATAATTTCTTAAATTGGCAAAACTACCAGGGGAGTGTCAGGAACTTTCAATCCAAGCTCTGGGGTCTGGCTGATGAACTGTGGTTCTAGGTTTCTCAAGTCTGGTTTTCAGTGTAACTGCCTGATATTTTTTACATTTGCTGGCGAGATTAATCACAAACGGTAATTACACTAACTGAAGGTATCAGAGCAGCATTTTGGTGCTGTGCGGTGTAAGGTAAGATGGGCGGTGCAGCTAGCTATGCTGGTTTGCTGTCATACATTGAGACCATTGAACAAATGCTGGTTAGTCTCTGTGGGCTGCTGAATTGGGCTTTCTGTGTTCTTAAATACTTGTTGGAAATACTTTTTTTAAAAAGGTAGATGGAGTTTGGAAGATGCTGGTAGCTCTGCATTTCCAACTTGGTCTCTCTAGATTCTTATAACTAAATGTTAGTTTACTTAGTAGGAAACAAGATCAGTACAGAGGACTTTGAAGATATTGTGTACCTCTTTAAGCACTTCCTCTGACTGTAAATGTGTTAAGATTCCTGAGAAAGGAAGTATGCAAAAGAGCTCCCTACTCTTTACATGTTAAGAAATGTTTCTGCATGAGCCCTCTAACAGATCAGCATGTGGAAGAGGATTTGAATAGGCCAAGAGTAAAATTAAAACTGAATGTCTCTCAGAGAGAAGAAGAAACAGCACTTAGTCTTTCAGTCCAAATATAGTTTCTTCTATTTGATTCTCTCTCCATTGGCTTGATTAGGTTCCTGTTAGTTACCTGTGTGAGTCCTACTGCCATCTAGTTGTAATTTGGTACAGCAAACACTTTTCACATGTACTTTTAACTTGGTTTAGCCATGTGCTTGGTGTACTTCATATATGTAGTTATACAAAACACAAGCAATAGGCCAAATTAATGATGGGATAAGCATAGTCATGGCAAATCTGGAAAATGACTGCAGGTTGGTGCAATTAAATGGTAAGGGAACAGAAGGGAAAATGATGCTACTAATAATTGGAGTTGCCTAGATTTTCTAGATAATTGCTGCTTTTTTGAAAACAGTGGTGTTATGACTCTGTCATACACGATAGCAATAGGAACAGAAAAGGACAAGTTACACTGACAAAGACCTACATACTGCTTGGTGCTTCAGTATATGAGATGCCGAACACTAGTGATTTATCAAATACTTCCTAAGTCAGATTAATCTTTCAGTTGTAAAATGTGAAGCATTCATTTAATCAGGAAATTGAAAATTCAATAATTTTGAAAATAAAGTTAGATACGTGCCAAAATTGAATCACATGCTGTATTTAGTTTAACCTAACTTATGAAATATACCCATAGTAAAGCTATACCAGGGCACCAAGTCTGCTGTCTTTATTGAGGGAAGTTTTAAGTGTCCAGGTGATTTAAAAACATAAAAAAATAATATTTTAAAAATGACTTGTGGATGCAGAAATTAAATTCTATCCATTATTTATAATTCTTATGTCATTTCTGGAAACATTGTTTAGCTTGCAAGAGGGTGATGCAGAAAGAGACGTAGTGTCCAGTGCTGCAAAGCGTTGCTCTTAGGCAGTTACAAAGAAAAGGTAATTCAGAAGGGTCTGAACAGTCACTTAGGGTGTGCGTGATGAAAGCATTTTGATGCTTAACGTGGCCATAGACAGAACCTGAACTATTCTGGAAGCCCCTAAATTGTTAGGCTGGGGTTTGGGGGCGATAATACCTAGGCATTTGGGGGGCGGGGGAAGCGCCCAACAACCTAAAACACGGTTCTTTTAAGGAACCTAAGCACCAAAGTAGTGCTTGTTGATTCTAAGATTCAGCTCATGTAGAAACAAATGTTCTGTGAGAAGCTGAAAAAGAAAGCTATCCTTGTGCCACATTATTGATATGAGTTACTGGAGAGTAAATTGTGTCACTTCAGGTGGCATTTTTTGGTTTCTCGTTTCAACAAAAGAAATGCCCTTTTGGTGTCTGTCTATTCTGGAACGTATAAATTCTAAGAGGAAGAAATGAAACTGAGTTCAGTATGTACGGGTTTTTTTTTCCAGAGACTCAATTTATATATGCTGCTTCTAGATAACATTTCAAAATGCTTCTGTCCACAGTCATCATACTTGTCTGGCTTTTGGTTTTTTTGCTTCTCAGTGCAATAGCTGTAATCATTTGTCTGTGGCTACAGTTGATATTACCATTATTGGTCATACATTTTTCAGCATTTGCCAGCATGGATCATTTCAATGCACCTTCCATCCTTGCCCATCAATGTGTACTGCATATGGGGATCGGCATTACAGAACATTTGATGGACTAACATTTGACTTTGTTGGAACTTGTAAGGTTTACCTAGTTAAGGTGAGACTTTTTTGTAAATCCTCTGTAAAACCGGATTTAAAAACTACCTGTTAAAAACTATGCTTCTACTTATTTCTTATCTGTACATTTTATTGAGTTCTACATACAGTTTTTTAAGTGTTGGTGTTGCTTAGACTTTGAATCATACGTAGCATAGTAATTATGCACTGAGGTTTCTGCTAACTGAACTGTGTAATGATATGCATATTAGTATATTTAAAAGTGTCCATTTTTTTTTCCCTTTAGGGTACTACTTCATCCAATTTTTCTATTATTATAGAGAATATTAACTGCTTTGATACTGGAATCATCTGCAGAAAAAACATTTTCATTAATGTTGGAAAATCTTTTTTAATATTTGATGATGAAACTGGCAATCCAGTAAGTTTCCATCTTTAACGCTGATCAAAAGGTAGCATACTTACTTCTCTGTGTGTTTTTTCCTTTCATTAGCAAAAGCTTACTGTGCTACTTAAGTAGCAGAGGCATAAATATCTCTACAATGAATGCTGATTATGTCTGGATTGGTCAATGGAAACCTTAAACAGAATCTTGTCTATACTTCATACAAACATTAAATGAAATGATTGTAATTCTTTTGTTTAGATTTAATTCCTGTTTAGTGTCTTAGGAAAAATCCAGATGATTTTGAGTCAGTGGGAGTTTTGCTATTACTTCCACTAGAACTAAGAATTTGAGCTGGTCTGGAATGTATAGGAGGAATATTCCTATACAGCTGTAAAAAATAAATTGCCATCCTTGTTATATCCTCCACAGCCTTAATTTCATTTTTGTTTTGGCTGAACTGCAAACTCTGTTACTGTAAATATTTAGTGTATTTAGTAATTTTAGTATAAATAGTACTATTTACAGTTTATAGACTGACTATAGAAAAGAAGTTTTGTCTCTTTGTATGAAGTATTACGTAATTAAACCAGACATCTTAGTCCATGCTACAAATAATTTGGCATCTGATTGTCATTGGATGGAGAGAAGAGTGTTTTATGTAAATAAGATGGCAATCTCTGGACATATTTAGACAATTCCTTATTTCAAGAAGATGTTCCGTGCATCTTTATACCTATCTGTATTCAAAAAAAGCATGTAGCTAAGACCTTCTGAATGCAGTGATGTATAACTAAGTGAAAATCATAACCAGGAACCTTAAGACTAACTTTCTACCTCACAGATGAGCCATTAACGTTTTAATCCACACTCCAGTTCTGTTACCCATCCTGTAAATTTGACATAAAATCAACTTTTAAAATAGGAAAATCATCCAAAAATGAAACGCAGTTCACAATCAAAATACACACCACTCCTGTTTAAGCATTTATCCCTGTATGGCCTTCTGTCAATTTTTGGACTTCTGTCTGAGAACAGTGTCGTTCAGTTTACTTAGATATTTCATTTTCTGTCAAGTGAACATTTTGTGAAGATATTACTTACATTAAAATATGCCTTGTTTTATTTTGAACAGAGCTTATCTAGTTACATAGACGAACTACAAAAAATACAGTTATGGAAAGCTGGATTTTTCACTATTGTTCATTTTCCTGATGAGCATATCACCATTCTTTGGGATCAGAGAACAACAGTTCATGTACAGATGGGTCATCAGTGGCAGGTAAGTGGAAGTCAACACTCTTATTGCCATTTCTTTGAGGTATTTATGTAAGTCTTATCAAATAAGACGTTATTGTTATTCACAGAATAAACAATGTGTCGGAAATCACATAGGAACTCAGTGGCAGAGTCAAGGAGAGAAGCACTCTACTACCTTGTCAATTAAAATGTTAATTCTCATTTACTTTTTTCAGTCACTCTTTACTGTCTAACTTCTGTAACAACAGAAGCAAATATCTTTGAAGCAACGTTCTCCTTCAGTACTCATTCATTATGTGACTGGAGCACGTGTTATATTGCTGAAGCATAAAAAAAGCACATAGCTAGCAAACAGGTCACTTCTCTAATCAAAAGATCAGCTCCTTTCTCAAAGGCTTGGAGATACTTAGTTGAAAGGGCGTAATATTGATATTGTCAAAATAAAATAATTTTGATGGCTTTATTATGCTCACAAAGAGCTGAACTGTTTTGGCTGAAATTTAGCTGAAAAGGATCAAATCCTGACAAATTTATAATTATGCAACTGAAGACAAGAACTGAAGAAGCAAGTTTTGAAAACAGTCATGGCTGGTAGTGTTTCGTATCATATGGAAATATGTTTTCATATATTTATCTTTATTCTCAGGGTGAATTGACTGGATTATGTGGAAATTTTGATTTGAAGACAGTAAATGAATTGAGGACTCCAGATAATTTTGAATTAACAAACTCACAAGAGTTTGGAAACAGCTGGACAGCTGTCGAGGTACATAGTAAAAAGAATGTGTTTGCTAGTAGATTTTTTTGCTGTTACATCATATAATTTATCTAGAATGAAGCTAGAAATTCGTTCCTGGAAGTATCAATCAGGCAGCAATGCAAATGGCAATATCAATGATTCCTACAGATATCATAATCCATTCAGGAGAAGAAAATAATCACCTTTATTTCTACTCAGTGCTATAGTGTAAAGAAAAATGCTGTAAAATATTCTGAATCTACAAGTGGTTTTGAAGATGTTGTTAAACAGTAAAGTAGCCTTTTTCTGATGTAATGGAAGAATTACGGGTTCACTTTAAGATTGTGTTGTCAGTTTAGCTGATCTTTTATATCTGGGTAATATTGAACTGTCAAAACATAACAATGGAAAGAAAAAATATTCTTTCCATATGCTGTCAAGTTAAAAATTGAGGTTTTTTAATGTCATGGTGTCTAGTGGTGTTCATAGAAATGTTCTTTCCTAGTAGAGTAAAAAGATCTGATTTCTGACACTTCTGATGTACGTTGTCCAAGTGAACTTTGTTATTTATGTAAGCTAGACTCTTCAGTTGTAAAGACTGCAGATTGAGACTGCGTGGGAGCTCTGTTTAGACCTATATATATATATATATATACACATGTATGTGTAAGTGTTTATCTGCTGCTCTCAGACAAGTGAAATATTTCTTCAGATGGCGTGCTTTTCCTTTTCTGCAGATTACCATCCCCTTTTAATTCCATATCTTACTCTGGTTTTATTTTCATAAATAATGCATTTATTTTGTTTCTTACATCCTCTTTTTTAAAAATGAAAACAAAACTATGCTTTCCAAGTTCAAACACAAAGTGGTTATGAATGAAGTTTCTCACCTTGATTTTGCTTTCTGGTTAAGTGTGTTGACAGCTCTGACATTCGAAATCCATGCAGTTTGAATCCCCTTAGAGAGCCATTTGCCAAGAAGGAATGTGGAATACTGTTAAGTGAAGCATTTGAAGCTTGCCATCCAGTGGTGAGTTGTGGTCATGTATCGAAAGATGTGAAAGTTAACGTATCACTAGAGCGAAACTTTACTTTTCATCTCATATCACTTTAAATCTTCATCTTGTCTTCCATAACATAATGATTTTGACTACTATAGCAAAAGAGAACACGAAGAAAGTCTAATCCATACTTATTCTGGTTCTAAAATGTGAATGTTTAACAGGACCTATAAGGACTATGTGCACTTAGCTGACCTAGACAGTAAGCCACTTTGGCACCAATTTAGCATGTTACAATATGAGTAGTCCTATTAGTCCCCTTTGTAATTAAGGGGACAAAATTGTACCCAATTTGTGTTATCTCTTTCTTTTTTTATCCCAAACATCATTTGCATAAGCATAACCACTTGTTTTATTTTGCTCAACTGTATTACATAGCGCACACATTTTTCAGGCATATTTAAATAAATTGCCAGTTTCTTCTAGAGAGTATCAGATGTGAAGAACTCATTCCTAGAAAAAAATGCATCTATCTCCTCACTCAGGCAACCACTTAAGGAAATTAATGAGCCATACAACATGTTTGGACAGTCAACAGGCTCAGGTTCAAGTGGAGAATGAGGGGGGACTGATTTCCAGAGCTAGGTTTTTTTATGGAAAATGACATACCCCAAGATGTTCAGGTATTGAGACTGCATGCATATCTCAAAGAGTGTAAGTGTCAGAATGGTTCCTAGGAAGAAGGGACATTTCATATGAGAGACAACGAAGAATCTTGCAGAGTTGCTTTGTTATATTACTTTAGAAGAATGTGGAAGCTGATGTTAAAGTTGTATTAGTGTAACATTATTTTGGTCTACTATATAAGGTAGGTAGCAACTGAGCTCCTCATAAGTGTGTAAGTATTACTCCAGTGTAAATCTATGTGGAATGTGTAACAATTCAGTAAACAAATTAGCATTGACAGTTTTTGAAATTTTGTCACTTAAGACAAGACTTCAAAATAATCGAAGGGAAAAATCACAAATTCACCTGTGAAATTGTCTAATAATATGGAGAGAATGAACATGAAAAGAATAGTTTTCCATCTACTTCATTATTTCTTACATTTTGTGTATATCTAACTTTCTTAACGCTTCTGAGATGTATCAATTTGTGATCAGTTTGGAGAAAGTTTCTCTTATGAAATAAGCTTCTTTGTAGTTTATGGTTTAAATAGTACAAAACCATACAGAACACAAGCTCACATCAGCATTTTAGTGTGCATGTTCTTAATACCTCATTGACTTAATTGTGTTACTAAGTACTGTACAAGAGTTTATGATGTGTTCTAATAAACTGTTTTTCCTGTGTTTCAGGAAACATTTAAATTAAAATATTTAATACTTCAAAGTCTTATGTAATTAAATAAATAAATAAATAAATAAAGAGTCATAGCTTTGTATTGAGGTGATTGTTGCCAGTGTCTATATGAATATTTTTGATAAGTGGTATTTATATTTCCAGATTGATGTTACCTGGTTTTACTCGAACTGCTTGACAGATACATGTGGTTGTAACCAAGGAGGTGACTGTGAGTGTTTCTGTACGAGTGTATCAGCATATGCTCATCAGTGCTGCCAGCATGGAGTTGCTGTAGACTGGAGGTCCCCTAGAGTGTGCCGTAAGTTTACTTAACTAGCATTGCTAGTGGCTATCACTGTCTGCATTCATGAGACCCAGACCTGAAAAAACAAGGACATAAGTTACCTTGAATCACTAAGCCGCTGTCATAGGAAGATGAGTGAGTGTGTGCCTCTCACTGCCTTCTGTGTTCATTTTAGTCTGGCTGGATTATGTGCTGCTTTCTGTATTTGTAGATTTAATTTTTAATTCCTTGTCCTGTGATGTAAAAGGAGAAGTCATGGGAAGTCTGTATTAGGATACGGCATGTGTCCCTCAAACCAAAGTTACCAAGTTCTCAAGTAATTTCCATCTTCAGGAGGACTTTACTTCTTAACAGGGTCTAGGAAACACAGCTGCCTTACTACTGCCCCCAGAGCAAGTGTGAAATATAAAGGTCTTCTGAAGAAAAAAAAAGTAGGTTTTTAAGCAGGACTTTGCCATTACCTTAGTATCCCAATTCAACAGTGCTTAGAAGTTGTAAAAAATACCTGAGGCCTTTTTCTATGGCACCTAGTGCAAATGCCTAAAGGAGACAGTCATTTCCCCAAAGATGTGATAAAAAAGGGCAAGATAGAAAGAATGGAAGGAAACAAGCATTTTTCTTTTGCAATTGCACAGAGAGAGTATGTAGCTTGCTCAAAGTCACACAGCAAATTTGCCACAGAGCAAGAGGGTTACTCTTAATTTTTGGTAGAAATGGTGCATGTGTTTTAAATGTGAGCGTGGAAAGACAGCAAAGCTTAGTCTTAACCACTAGAGGTCACAAAAAGACAGCTGTAGATATGTAAGCTTAGTATTTCCTGCTGGAAAACAATATTTTATTTAAATCAATGTAGTTTAAATTAGTAGTTTATTTAAAGCAGTAAAGTAAATATTTGGCAATAATTTTTTTAATAAATGTTTGTGTATGATCTAACTTGGCCAAGCATTTAGCTTAGCTATTAATTATAAAGGGTAATAGAAAACCTGTTTATCTGCAGAATGCCTTCAACTGCATTTCTTTTATTTTTTTTTTTTAGCTTATGATTGTGAATATTTCAACAAAGGTAAGTCCTAAATGAGCTGATAAAATATCAATAGAATCTTTGGTTTCTTTATATATAAGTCTTAGTACTTTGTATAAAAATAATTGTGTTACAGAAAACAGTTGCAAATTTTTATATTATTTAAATAGTCAAGATTCTGTTTTACTTGTTTATTTGGCTTTTTCAATGGGTTTTAATTTCATAATCCTTTTTATTCCTGGGCCTTGTCCAAAAATACATGTTTAACTCATTTTCTTTGCATTTATGGATCATGATTAAACAATTAAATCATTAAGTAATTAATAGACTATTTAGCCCCATAGTACTAGTGCCTCCACTTGCTTGGGACATACTGCAGTTCAACACTGATACCCAGTGGGTCTGTTAAACCAATCATGATCTCCTGTGCAGCCTCCAGAGGGAGCTAGCTATTAAGATATTTCAACTTTTTGCACCCAAATTGGGGAATAACTCTCCATTTAGGTATGTCCGACCTAGCTTTAAGTTCCTGAGTGACAGGCGTTGCTGCTGCATTAGAATGGCTCTCAGAGAGAGGTGCAAAACTTGTACAAGTTCTGGAGTAAACTTTGAATCTGTACTGGGTGCTGTACTGCTGTGTTAACACTGGAATCCATATTCAGACTATTTTAAAGTTATATTGTGAGTGTCTGCATAGTTAGACATGGTATACATACAAGCACTGCAAGCCAGCCTGATGTGAGGAATGGTCAGGACTCCTGCTATTTATTCCATAACTCTCTTTATCAAGCTCGTGTAGAAGCCTGTCTATCCAGATGGTTTGTGATATTTTGGTCTTCTGTTAGACTTCATATTGTGGCAGCTCACCCCCAGAAAGATCTGAGTGAGGGACTGAGTTTAATTTAGAAGAGACTTGTGCAACGTGCCAGGCCCAAATGGCATGGCCCCAGAAATTTACATTTTCTGATGTACTGACTGCTGAAAAGATTTTGAGTGGTGGCAAATTGCTGATGCAGTGGAATTTTATCTAAATCACTACTTAAGCCTTTAAATTAATTTAAATAAAGCCCAGTTGAATATAAGAGGTGACTGCAGTTTTACATTTCCTTTTTGGTTTGTTTTGTCTTATACATGAAATAGTCTAATACTAGATAATCTTATGCAATTGTAACATTCAAAAGTGCAGTACCTCTCACATCTGTGGTAGCAATGAAGTTAGATGATAACATATACTTTTAAAGTGTGTTATTAGATTCACTTGTTACTGAATTCTTACTGACAGAAATTAGTTGAAATAGTGAAGAGTTGTGTGTGTTACCAGGTTGCAATAAATATGGTTATCGTATACTTCTCACTTCATGTATTCTTACTGTTTGCTAATCCAGCTCATCAGTATTCAACATGGGATTTTTCAGAGCTGCCAATGGGGAAAAAAAGTCATCTCTATGCTGAAGATTTTCTTCTCTATGTGAAATATAGTAGCATTCCCCAGAATTACTTAGTATTGGAGACAGCAAGGTTAAGAAACTGTCTTAGACCAGAGAGGTTTTCTCTATGTACCTTTGTCATGAATCCAGAGTGAAATAGTTCCAGTCCCACTAGAAGCAGGAGCAGAAACCTTTTGTCTTTGGTAAGGGGAAATTCTGAGCTGGTAATTGTGGTTTCTAAAGTTTTGGATGGGCCTGAGATATGAGACTTAAATGTATAATAACATTTCCAGAACATTAGATGTTTTAAGTAATTTTAAAAATGTTTTTCAACTCCCTGCACTGAAGGTAACCAGGTATCACTGTACATGTCTAGCTAGGCATGGGCTTGTGTCCTAACTGTTCACCTGTTCATGCCATTAGAATCTAAAATGCTGGTTGTAGTGCAGCCTCCTTCAGATTTCAAGGCTCTTAATTAATTTTAAGGTTAGGGAGAACCAGAATATGAGGGCAGGCTGCAAAATGCAGTCCAAACTTTTAAGCTGTTGGAAGAGATTTTAAGGGTCAATGGTATTAGCTGGAACTGTCAGCTGAGAAGTTCTGGGACACTTCTGCCTCAGATGTATGCTTGCCGTGCCCTGGCTTCTAGGTAAAATGGTAGTGAGGCGAATCACTCAGGTGTGGTCTCAAATGACTGGTTTTAACAGAGAAGTTTACGAAAAAAATTTCAAATACCGTTTAAAAATAAACCTTAAAATATTTTTCGCAGTGAAATTGGAACTAAGTGAGTAGGTGTGACATTGTAAGATTTGTGAAATGATAACTTCATGTGCTTTTGGCTTTTTTTACTTACAGGTAAAATATGACTGTTCTTTTGCTTATGATGCTGATTTCTTCCTGTCTCGCTTCTTAGTGGTTATATTTGTTTCTACATTGTTTAAGGAGTTCCTCGATACTTGATGACAGTAAAATTTTATTCCCTGTAAAATGCCTCACACTTTGGACACTAATAAAATAGGCTTTAAAGAATAGTAAGAAATGTATAATTAGTTTAATGACACAAATAAAAGATTTAGAGGGATCCCAGGGTGGTCTGTAGAATATTATTTACTTCTAAATCAAATAACAGAAGACTCTACTAACTTTATTAAAGTGACAGTGAAATCAAAGTGGATGAGAGGAAGAAAAAGAGAAGCTAAGCATGAATCTTGAAAATTGAAACTAGGTATTTTGGACACTTTTCAGAACAGTTTTGTGTTTTGGTTTTTTTTTTTTTAAGAGTTTGGCTTTGCTTTGGTTGTCATTATAGTTTAGTGCATGGCACCTAAAGCTATTTTTAGAGTGGAGAGTGTTTTTATTATGATGTGCTGTATCATAATATTTAGAGCTCAAGCATTTGTGACACTTGATATGAAAGGTAATTCTGATTTTTGTTCTCAACAGCTCTAGGAAAGGGCCCGTACAAACTGGTCAGCTATTTGGATGGAGAATTTGTAATGGCAGTGAAACTGGTGGATGGTGTTGTTTTCCCAGTGAGAGAAGAACATACTGCCCCTGGACATGCAGTGAGCTTTATGCTGACTTCAGGACTTTATAAACCCAAAGCACATGGTAAAGTCACTGTAACCTGGAGGCTTAAATAAGGCGAGCAAATTCTGCCCTTGAATATGAGGCTATGTTTAGGAATAGACCTGATTCAAAAAATATTTTCTTTATCTGTGAGCTGATTGTGCACTTTAATGTTGTCTGCCAAAATTTGGTTATTTGGTTGGTTTTAATTAGATGACTGTAGCTTTATAAGACAGATACTTCTAGTTGAAAAGCAGCAGCTTTCCCCCCCTCCCACCCCCAACCTTCAGAAACACCAAACCAGTGTTGTAGCCCAGTGCTTCAGATATGTGTTGCTCCCTCCACCTTTCCACTGGCAGAACTGGGACATGGGAGAGAAACAATACAAGAAAAGTACTCCCTAATTCACTCATTTTGCCGCCATCGCTTGTTGTCTACCCACTAGTATGGAGATGCCCATTGGCACTAACCTGAGTTATGTAAGGGTGTATACTGCAAATTTGTCTCCTTCAGGTCCCAACTTAAGCTCCTACTGAAGGAATATGTTGCTTATTCAGCAGATAAAAGAAACCCTGCACACCTTCAGACAGGTGGAGAAAGCTTACAAGAATACATACAGCACTTTGTGACATTGATTAAATGCTAGAGTTGTCTGCATACGTAATTTTAATGCCCACAGAGCACTTGAGTCTCAACACAGTTTTACCACCCAGAGTCCCCTGATCAGCTCTTTGGACAGCCTGAAGGTGTCTGTCTTTGTGTAATCAAAGAAGGGATATGGGTCAGTTGAAAAAATGACAGGCATTTGATTAGTAATACTGCTGTCTGTAAAACTGACACAAGAACTCGTGTAACAGAATATCCAGGGCCAGATTTCTTTTATTAGTCATAGTTTTGAGACACTTGTACATTGCGTTCCATTTAGGTTTGGAAAGGGAAGGTCAGTCTTACTGTTCTATTCCAATATAAAGATCTCTCACTCGGAATTTAACCTGGCAAATGGAATTTGTGCCTTATAGTCCAGTTTGAGCGAATGGCGTTTCATCATTTTGCCATGGAGTTTATACAATCAATACAATATTTTTCATATCCGTGTCTTCATTTATATATCTGTGTTCTTGGTTCTTTGGTACCTCAGAAAAATGGATGTGTTTCATCAGTTTCAGACAAATTGTAGACAATGGAAAGTTTTGGGCATTGATGTACTGATTTGCTATATGGTAGGTATAAATCATGCTGTCCATTGTTACTTATCAAATAGCTACTTGCTACAGACAATTAATAAAAAGATATGCACAAGTGCCAGTATGTTTTTCAGATTAATTGAAGTTTTTATGCTCAGGAAACAAATTGGTCTTCCAGAAGTGTTATACCAGAATGTGATAGCCTGTCTGTTTAATAGAGATGATTTGTTTTCTATGCATTCTTTTTTTTCAAGATACGCTACCCAGGCCTGGAGGGTTAGTTGATTTTATAGTAGAGTAATAGCTATTTTCAAGAGAATAGCAGAGTTTACAGCAAAATAGAATGAAGTAATTCTGTGAGCAACAGATGCCTGTAACAGGCTCAAGATCTGCCAGTCTGCAATTGCTTGTACAGAGGCTTGCTTGAAATCAGCAGTGATGTTTTCAGGGTAAGGTATCACATAGGTATATTTGTCAGAAAACAGACGTTGCCGTTAACATTCTTAAGGGAGGGACTGGAGAGCTGACCACTTAGAAATTAAGACACAATGTGGTAAGCTGAATGCAAAATGCTTTTTTATAGTTTATTTTTAATGAAAGGCTGAGCTCTAAAGCTACAAATTCCTGATGGTAGATGTTACTTGTAAAGCTAGCTAGATAAGTTTAGATTTTTATTAAATAAATGGCTTAGTGAAATCTGCAAAATGAAGTTCTGCTTGTCTGCAGGGCTATATCCCTTTATCCTAATGTGGGAAAATGTTTACTACTGAATGATTACTACTGAAATCTATAGGATATTTAGAAAACTAAATATCCATCAGAATCTAGCACTCCTGAAATCCATATACAGTATATTTTCTTACAAGATTCAGGCTAGTTTCATGAATAAGGCCAAAGTCAGTTTTCATTGCTCATGCTACTAATACTAGTATTGCTACATCAGAATGAGTTTAGTTTATTATGCCTATATCAGCAAGTAAATGAGTTCTGTGTGTTGTTTTTTTTTTTTCAGATTCCAACTTGATTTCATTTGAAACAGCTGAGAGACCAAACTATTTTCTTCAGTTGGCCTCCAATAATACTCTTGTTCTTTCTAAATGGGAAAAAAGCGAAGAGTTTCACAACAGATCCACATATGTCATTCACAAGAATACATGGATTTCAGGATACAGTTCCTTTGAGTCATTTGCAAAACCAGGTTACTTCATCCACATTTCAGGCTCTTCAGTTGAGCTTTTGAAGTACCATCATTCAGAGGAGTTCAGACTGTCAACCCTTTTTAAACTTGTAGGTAGGTAGGTAAAGTTGTATTTTATGAACAGCAGTTTGCACCCTGTGAAAATACAGGCTAAATGGTATTGATGTTTTCAGAGGTGGTGAGATTGCTTACTTCTCCCCTGCATCACTGGGAGCTGCAATTAATCTATGACACGTGGGCTCAAAGTCTTCTTCCCTGAGCCTTGTAGTGAGGATGAGATTCTGGGTTTTTTGTCCAAAGCTATTAAATAGCCTAACACACGATTTTGCTATATTTGCCAACTAGTTTTGGAAATACATTGCCTAGTGTATGGTTTCTGGGCAATACTTGTTTTGTAGGTGGTGAGGAAGTTCTTAAGGAGTAGAAAATTCATGCTGATGAGTAATGGATTTACAAAGGGAATAGAAAAGAACTGAATACATCTCTAAAAGCTAAGGTCTATGGATGTTTTCTCCTCCTTTCCCTTTGATTGCTGCCATCCAGTGCTAAGGACATTGCCTGTAGATTGCACCTCTTAGACTTCGTGTTTCCCCTGAAAAACACCTTGCCCTTTATCCACGTAACCACTCATAGAGGCTCTGCCTTTTGGGATGTTATCCCCTAGTGTTGCAGGTGTCATCTACGTAGAGATGCATTGCCTCTTCTTGGGAATATAGAAGTCTTGTTTTTCTACTGTTTCTTGGATAGCTACAGCTCTTGAATACACAATGTAGAGTGCTGTGAGAGCGTTTCTACCTACTTGAAAGATTCCCATTCCTATAATAGTATTCCCATTCCACTGAGATGTAAGGATCAGAAATGTAGGATATATTCTTAGGACTCTTTATAGGAGCTGTATCCAGAAGTTGCTTCTACAAGAACTGATGACAAAAACCACAATTAAAAAAATCACTAATAAATCAAGCTTTCTTTTTTAGACTAATAATGAAAAGAAATAATAACAATAACTGTTTTCATATATTCTTCCAACACTTGGGAACCATGCGCTGAAATAAAGATGGCCTTACAGGTCAAGAACAAGATGCAAGAAGTTACACTGGCATATAAAACAAAGCAAAGCAGATTATTCATGAAACCACAGTTTGCTTTAGTGTCTGCTTGTCTTAATACATCAGATACATCCAATGCATTCATATGACTTTATTTATGAACCTCAGTGACAACTACTACTTGCTGAAACCACTGGCCTTTGTGTGGTATATAAAATTCCAAAATGACTACAAGTGTTTATTTTTATGTTCTAAAGCTTTTTATTGTGCTGTAAGTTCAAATGCATTAGTAATTCTTTTATTGGGGTAGCAGAAGTATATTAATAGGTATTCTTGGCAATACCGTTTTTTTAAAATCAGTTCTTCATTCTCTGAAATCAAAATTTGTTTTACAGGCAAAGAAAGAAAATGAAATATTGTAACAAATGAAGCGTGGCCTGGCCATATTTTACAGTGACCATGTTGAATGTCATCACAGACAAATCTGAAGCAGGCACTGACTTCTATGACAGCAGAGGCCAACTGTATGCCTCGTGGAGCTTCTTGTTATCAAAACATTGAATTAAAGTGTTAATGGTGGCATTGTGAATCTGCCGATGTTTTGCGGTGCATTATGCTGACAGCCTAATGCAGCTGTTGACTGGCACACTCCAACTTCAGAAAAAATGACAGATTTTGTCATTGCCAAATGCCTGTTGCCTCTTGACAAATGCTTGTAATCACAGAGCTGTTGAGGTTTTTGAACAGCAGAATTCTAGAGCTAATGCTATTACCAGGATGTTCGTACAGCATTTTAAGCGAGGAACTTTCTTTGGACATAACAAAAATATCTCCTTAGTCTTTTATCTTTGAGGGAGGAATGAAGAAGGTTAAAACATGTTCCAATTCTCAGTGGTCGTCCATTAACACAGAGTGGTATGTCTTTTCAAGTGTGAAGTCTTTAGCCTCCAGTCATTATACCAAAAAATCCTATCTATGCCAATGGAAAACTAAAACAATTTACCTCAGCAAGTGGGATCAGATCAAATGATCAAGAGGCATTTCATTAATCACCACATCCGAAGGCTTGGGTTTCAGAGTTTTATAAGCAGAGAAACATAGGGCTCGAATCTTTCTCCAGTATACTTTCACAAGGGCCAGCCTGCTGATGTAGGGTAATTACATGGTCTAAAAATACAGCAGCATTTGTTTAAGTTAATGGAAAAGTTACACCAGCTCCAGAGTGCACAGTTAGATCAGAAACTCTTGAACCGGGAACAGCTATTCCTGCAGAATCAGAGGATAAATATCGGGAGCAGAATAATAGGCCCAGTAAATCCCCTTGGCCAGAAAGTTCCTCATGAGACTTCTTCATGCTCTGTGACGCACATTCAAAAGGAAGAATTTTAAATGACCTGATCACCACAGCAATAGATACACGTTTGTTTTAAGTCAGCTGACGAGTCACTTTTTCCAGTTTCATAGCAATAAATATTGTCACACTGAAATACTTTGACTATAAATTGCACAGATATGATGGGCTACACTGCAAAGTATTTTCCATGAGAAGTCACTTCAGCTTTTAAATTGGATTATTTTCATTATACTTAGATTTGTCTGCTGTCCTGTTCCCACAAACATTTGAGGTTTTGAGTTGATTTGAATATCTAGAGTATACTTACTCACAAGAAAATACATTTTGCATTCTATGCAGGAATTTTTACCAGCAATGGATTGGTATGCATTCAGTCAAAAGAAAGAATACACTTAGACTTACCAGATGGACAAGCACAGAGCTGTCATGTAAGAGCGATAAATTCACGTTTGAAATTGTTGGGAAATTAGTGGATGTAGGGGATTGATGATCTTTTTATGGATATAACTGCAGTTTCCTTACACTTTTTAAAAATAATGTGTTCAAGCTAGTTACCTTTTACCTTTCATAGAATTATCATAATATGCTTTACCTTTTTAAGATCAGTGAGTTAATTTTTTTTATATATTATAAAAACGTGACTTGCCCTGTATAGATTCTGCAGCAAAGTTCTTAATGTTAGTTATGTGCTTTAATAGCTAACTTGCTGTAAATATAAGGCCTATCTCAGAGAGAATTTTGAGCTAAAATTAAAATCTCAAGACACACTAAATATATGCGCACTGCACAGAGGTATTTATCAATGTTTAAGTTCGATACAGGGCATATTTGGTTGCTTTTAACATTTGTATAGTAATTAACTGAAACAAATTCAAAAACAGTACAAAATTGAAAAAGAAATTAATTTTAATGAAAAACTTGTTTTTGCTTCTTACATCAGATTTATACATGATATTGTTGACTGTTTTAACTTCAACTTACTCTTACCCATTTCCATCAGTAGAATTAATTTTCCAGAATGTCCTGTTGCTCTTAAGTTTAATTCGAGCTCATATACTTTGTCAGTCCAAAAGATCATGACATGGGGCCTGGGACTGGATAGTGCTGAGCAACTGCTGTTGTACCTGCAAATCCTGGGTATGTCACTGACCACAACTGCTCGGTAGCTCTTGGAATCAGGCTGAGGTTACTGTAGAATTATAGCATCGTTCCTATTTATACCACAAACACAAAACAATTGACCTCCCATTTGTGACTGAATAAGTAGGAGATTGAATAGTTGCATTAATATGATTATATTCTCCTAACATCATAATAGTAAACTGAACAAAAGTATTTAAGAGGTAGATAATTACACTTCGCTTTGAGCGATGTTTTGGCTGGACACCAAGTTCAATTTTTCCAGTGATATTTGCTTATATTTCTCGTTGCAGAAACTTAGAAGTCATGGGCAGAGTTTGTTAGTAGGTTGTGTGTGTTAAGGGGGGTAGATAAGATTTCATGTTTCTAAACTGGTAACTGAGGAGATAGGCAATCTACGTTACTAAGCAGAGTTTTGCTGCCATTATAAATAGAACTGATTCTAAAGCAAATTTTGTTCCTACTAGATTTAAAAAAAATCTTTGGAAACAGTAGCAAAACAAAAAAAGTGTCAGGTGAGAGTGAAAATCCAAATATTTTTTTTCATTATTCTTAAAACTTTTGTTTTAAATACAACCTTTTATTAACATTAGAAAATTTAAAATTTTAGGGTTTTTTTTTAAGTAAATAGGCATTTTTTGAGCATAGCATGAAATTATTAATAATATGCATATTCTGAGAATGGCAAGTTTTTTCCCTATGACGTAGAAGTCAGCACAGGAACAAAAAAAAGGCAGGATGGACTTGTGACAGTAGGAATTGTCAACACAGAAAAGTGGCCAAGTTACTAAGAAAGGTTGTTGTGACTCAACAGAACACCACAGTCTCAGTGATAAAAAATGAAAATTCTTCATTAAATGGTAGCAACTGTTCTCATTACTGCAGAATTATTTTTGAAAGTCATGAAGAATGAAAAACATAAGTTACCGGGAACAAAATGCTTCTCTGATGTTCAAGCAAGTCAGAAAACAATGGAGCTGGAGAATGTCTTTTAATATATTGTCTTTGGCCACATGTATACCCGCATTCATATGAAAGCTTTCTGCAGTACTGTAACATGTTGATGCACTCAGCTCCTGTTAGGTAAAAGAACTGTGGGTTCAGTTGGCATGTCAGCTGGAGCGACTGTCATCCAGGGCATAATTTACCATTTTGTGAAGGATTTGCTGTGTCACTGAACAGAAGACAAATGCTGGTAGACTTCACCAGGAGGCACATGGTTATTTTCAAATGCCATGACAAATCCTTTTGAGGAACACATGCCTGATATAAGAAGCTTGACTCATTGTCTGTAAACTGTGCATCATTCTTTTGTTGTGAGGAAACTGTACTGTTGCACAGAGTACAGTAAGCTCCTATTACTGGTTGCTGGAGGGGGAATTTAAATATTTAAAAAATGGGAAGCATGTGGTGGAGGTGGCTGATTAGCATCCTGGCTAGCATAAAGCGTTCATGCCATGACACTGGTGAAATCCAGAGTTTCTGAGCTGCAGTAGTTTCTGTCATGGGAATAGCAGCATTGCAGTAACAGTAAAGCGGAGGTTGGTCTGGTGTGGAAATTAATGTCTAAAATCAATACAGAGAGTATTTCCCTCAGTTTAGGGAGAGGGGTGCTTGAATGGCTTTAAAGCACTTGGTTACTGCTTTTCCTTATACTCTAATGATTGTGGGTAGTGGGATTATAGTTAATATACAGATGTGCTAAAAAGAGGCAAAATAATCTATTACTTTAGCTGGGTCTAGAGATACTTTATTGTTCTCTTGGCTTATTCTTGAATTCATATTAGTTCAGAACGTGGCTCTGCGCCTCCCCGTCATTTTCTGTCTAATCTCTTATTTAGTCTAAACGTTTTAAGCAGGAACTGCGTCTTGCTGTGGTGGTGTGGTGTGGGGTTTTTTGGGGTTTGTTTTGGTTTTATACAGTGGCTTGCACAGTCAGTCAGCTAGATCCTTGTGCTGCTTAGGCATTCCAGAACTGATGCTGCTAGTAGTGAAAACTTTAAATGTGATGAATGACTGAACTGACATTCTCCTAATGCTGGAAAAGCATTTTCTGATAATTCATAATAACGCACAGATTTCATTATATCTGGTGGGTTTACTGAGACATACGGAAAACTTTTGAGGTACTGGAAACCAATTAATGCGATTTATTCAACTCTTGCTGTGGTGATTTGGTCTGTTCTTTTGTGTAATTTATACACTAAAAAAAAACCTAATACAGCTTGGCTTGGTACTCAATTCTCTAAAATCCCTTGACTGAAAAATTAAATGTTCATTGGTTCTACAGCTCTTACTGGAAAACAATTTTTACGGCCAGGTTAATGAGTTAATCTGTTGTCCATACTTCTTTCTTCAGAAGTAGAGACAAAACTTGCAGACAAGCATGACTTTGTTCTTGACTGAAAGCGGTGTTTATGAACCACTCAACAAATGTTATGTAGAAATTTACCCTGTTTCCTGCCAAGGCATGCAACATCAGCAAACTCTGTGAACTTAATCTGTAGTAAAGCTTGAGGAAGACGTGACAATCTATGTCATAAAAGTCTAAGTTTATTTGGAGAATGGGAGATGGTATGTTAATCCCAGCACTTGGAAGTGTTAATTCACAATCACTGTTCTGCTAAATTGAGAAACTAACATTCTTCATTGAGTTACAGTATATGTTCTGGAAAGCTTGTGCCTTTATTGTCTTTGAAACTTCTTCTGTGATTAATGGTGAAGCTTGTGGCTAGAGTTAAAAGTTATGGATCTGTCTCCGTGCTTAATCTAGGGTTGTCTGAAAATGAGATTTCCTAGATTCCACTCAGATATACTGTTATTGATGGTTATTACCACTGTTGGTGATTGCCTGTGCCAACAGGTCTCTGATATGTTCTTTTTGTCATACATCTTCTTTTGTCCTTAAACCTTACCACTCTGACCTGTCAGTACATGCAAAACACCATATATCAGTCAGCAAAATGTATAGAAATAATTCCATTCCTTCATTAGATTTAAGCAACTTAAGTTGGTTTCACTAGAAGGGGTCACAGAAGAATTCAGTGACTTGCACTTAGCTTTTTATGGGAATGTAACTTTATAAATGCATTTGTTACTGTTGTAAGAATCATGTTTTCAAAAACAGCGACATTATGTCCTTAGAGTGACATGTAAAAAGGATAACACTAGATGGCAACATACACACTCTTTTGTCTGAGTTGAATTTTTACCTTTCATTTAAGAGAATTATTTGTATTTTAAAAGACGACTTTTTTTTTTTAATTTGCCATAGTGTTTCATTATTAGTACTACTTTGCCTGCTGAAGTCCATATTTTGAGTTAAATTTTGCAAGGCTACATCTCATTTAGCCTGAGTTGCTTTCTTCATTGTAGGAGGAGTAAGAATTTCATATTCAACATGTTCTGAGGTTTGAATTAATTTGTCTTGGGGTGGCTATCTTATACTACTTTTGGGAAGATCAGCTGTTAAGTTATATTGCTTTAAGGAGCCTAAATTGGCATAAGTTTTGACTACTTTATTTGGAATGGTGTTTGTTTTGGCTTTTAAAATACAATTGCATCATACAAGTTACGTACACCTTTGTGCTATATCAGCAAATTTTACACACAAAGTAAACAACTGTTACGATACGATTATGTTACAAAGAGTATCAGTGTATCCAATTGGTGCTTTTTATTTTAATAGCAATAATTGTACTTGAATCAACATAATCTTAATTTTGCATTGAATAACCAAACATATAGTTTTGTTGGTTTATAGTTTTTAAGACGTAAAAACAACAGCTCTAACTTGCCTGGCTTTATTTTCAAGTGACTGTAATATGCAGTAAATGTGGCTAGTTCAATGTCATGTTTTATACTACAAAGAGTAAAACAGGCTGCAGAGCCAGCACTCTTTAATATACTCTGCATAAAACGTAAACTGTTCTTTACGTTTTAAAGACCTTAGCAGTTAAAAAAATATCATCAATTTTATTTGTAGAGAATGCAGGTAGAAACTAAGAGATTTAGAGCTGCAGTGAACTTAAAGCATGCCTCTTACTGATACGTATCTGTGTGCATTTCTACAAATATACGAGCATAACAGATCTTTCTTGCTTTTCAGATGTCAAATTTAAATTTCTATCCCGTTCTACATGTGAATGGCATTATGATGCCTGTACAAGCCCTTGTTTCAAGACATGCAGGGACCCCTTGGGAAAAAACTGTCAGGCAGTGCCAAAGTAAGTATCTGTATTTTTATGGAAAAGTATGTAATTTGGGTAATATACTTATGCAGCATAATAGGAATATGAGGGACCAGATGTAGGCTCAGTATAGCAGGACTGTGTTCTTGTATAAGGAGGTAAGCAAAGGAGAAAAGAAATGGAATAAAACCTGCTGTGGCAGCTACATGAAAGAGACATTTCAGTTGTTAGTCATTCCAGAATCTGACAATACTTATCTAGTATATTTGTAACTTTCAAGCTGGGGGGGGGCATTGTAGAGTATTCATAAAGAGAGGTGATTACAAGTTTGTTTCAAATAGTTGTGCTGCTACTTCTTTATTATGGCATTGCAACAGCCATATCTGTTCTTGCCTTTTCCTTCCAATTGGAATTTGTGCTGTCTGCATAAAAACCTGACATTTGGATTTTGGTGTGTAAAAATGTTTGGCATTTCTTAAGCAACAGCATTCAGTATTGAACCTGCAACTGTTCGTTTCAAAGGCTGAGTATCACAGAGTTCATGCTTTAGCTTAGATCTCAGTGAAAATGGAAGCCATGCCAATGACATTTTGAAGGACTACACTGAGGTGACGAGATTTAGATAGAACAAGACTGTTTACTTAAAAATACTTTGTTTATAAATTCTGTTTTGCTAAAACTTAAGTGCTTGATCCACAAGATACTGTTCAGCTAGTTTAGTATTAACTGTTTTTCTTTTAGAGTGGAAGGATGCATCCCTGCCTGTCCTCTCAATATGTTGCTGGATGAAATTACTCAAAGATGCGTGTATTTTGAAGACTGTATGTTAAAACAATTATATATATTATGTATGATACTTAGCTTATTAATTTCTTAGGTCTTTAGTCAAATTTTCAAATATCGGTGCTTAAATTTGTGTGACTATGACCTTAGTTATATGAACCTTGAGCTCACTAAACATACATTTTAGCTATAATAATTTCACTCAAAAATCTGAGACAGACTTTAAACTAAGAAAGATGTTCTTTCTTCATAAAATATTTCAGTAACATTAGCTGTGGAGCAAATTATTTAGAATCATAGAATCATTCAGGTTGGAAAAGACCTCAAAGATCAAGTCCAACCATCAACCCAACACTACCTTGCCTAGTAAACCATGTCCCGAAGTGCTATGTCTACACATTTTTTGAACACCTCCAGGGATGGTGACTCCACTGCCTCTCTGGGCGGCCTGTTCCAATGCTTGACCACTATTTCAGTAAGCAAATTTTTCTTAATATCCACTTGAAACCTCCCCTGACAAAACTTGAGGCCATTTTCTCTTGTCCTATTGCTTGTTACTTGGGAGAAGAGATCAACACCCACCTCACTACAACCTCCTTTCAGGTAGTTGTAGAGAGTCATAAGTGGGAAGAGCAATTTAATAAATTTATTTTTTAATTTGTCTATGAATTTTAGAAGTTTAAAGGCAATTGAAGAGATCAGTGCTATAAGTTAACATAACTTCCTTCAAGCTCTGCTAGCTTCATGACTGTAATTATTCATAAATTTCAGACTACTGTTCACTTGTGTCTGATTTCAGGTATTGAACCTGCAGATGATAGTCCACCTTTGTCACCCAGCATTCGAACACCAGCAGTTTCACACTTAGCATCAAGTACAAGTTTGGCAGCGATTAGTGAAGTGGCAACTTCATTTCCCGTACCTGAAGCAAAAGACATGGAAACAACACTTGGTTCAAAATTGCAACTCACTGCAACTCCAAGAAAAACTGAATTTTCACCTATTACTTCTAATACAACACTTCAAATCGTAACTTCATCATCAAATATTTCTTCACAGTCAACAGAAATGACATCTGGGAAAAGCACTACAGCAATGTCCAGGACAACAAAATCTAAAGTAAGCTTGTCTTCTGTTGATATTTCTCCGTTGCTTCCATCTACTGTCAGTTCAGAAACTTCCACAAAGATACAACCAATCAGTAGTGGTTCCACTACAGTATTGAGGGCTACAGAGCCTCAGGCAGTAACAGCTACACATGCAGTGACTACAAGCACAGAATCAGAAAGCAAACCAATTTCTACTTTGATTTTTACTGGGGTACCACTTACACTTAGAATAACAGAAATGCCAGTCAAAACTAAAATAAAGGAAGTACCAGAAGTAGCCACAAGAACACTTCCTGCAAAAGAAGCACAAGTGAAACCAGAAAGACTTACAACATTTACACCCATTTCATTTGAATCAATAACAGAAAAAACTACTGTGTATTCGCCCCAGTTTTCCACACCACCACCTTTGTATACACCACCAGTAACTCTAACAGGGGCTTCAGAAGGCACAGAAATAAGCCTAGGACAGTCTTCTAGCACAGAACCTAATGTTACAGTAACATCACTTTCTCCTGTGATCACTACTTTGTTAAAACCCATGTCTTCAGCAACAGCAAAGCCAGCCATTGTTTTAACTGAACAGAGCATGAAGACTACATTTTCACCAACATCCACACCACCTATTTCATTAGGAAAAGCAATTACAAAACCTCCTATTGAAATGGTTCAACACCTAACTGGTACTGCAGAGGTACCTTTCACTACAGCTCTAGGTCCAAAGATGACAACTCTGCAAACTCAAAAGAGATTATCAGAAACAACTTTGTTACCATTTACAACTCATAAAAAGGAAACTCCCAAAACAACATCTCAAGTGGAGCATATGTCAAGTTTCTATTTCCCTCGACATTCACTACATCCTAGTTCTACAACTGAAAAATCCTTCACTCATTCTACAAAAAGACCTTCAGTGTCTGCTCCTACTTCTTCTTCTCCAGCTTCAGGTGAATTGAAAAAAACATTCAAAACTGTTTCAACTACAGGATATCCCTCATACATAGTTCTAAACACAACAGAGTTCCTGACTATATTATACACTAAATATCCCATTGTGGCTGAGACTATCAGTGTGACACCTTTGTCTGCTGAGGTAACGTCCAAAATAACATCCCCATTTGAATTAGAAGCCAAGTCAACTTTGTTTTCTGGAAAAACTTCTACCAAATACAAGTCAACTCTGGTTTCAAGTACGGTGAAGACAAGCACTTCAGCATATTCAGGTAGTGTTACCACGTCAGCAATTAAAACCTCAATCTCATCAAAAGAAACCACCACAGTTCCTTTCATAGCTACAGAAAGAGTGTCAACTCAAAGAACATCAGTCACTGGATCTCCGCTTACTCTCCTTAGTGCAACTGAAACCACATTGTTGACAACACAGCCTGATAAATCACAAGTGGAAAGAATTACTAGCATCTCTACTAGAAAGGCATCTGCTTTCCCTTCTTCACCATCAAGTTCTCTAATCTCTTCAAACATCTCTCTTCCTTCGCTACCCTCATATGGAAAAGAAGCATCACTGACAGCTCTCAGTCCTGTGCATACATCCCATGAAACAATCTCTTTATATCCAAGAAAAACTACAGCAAAATCTGAGTTACCAACAGAAAAGACCTCTCCAGTCCTGACTTTCTCTCTGTTACCCACTATGACAGAACAGTCAAGTCCAATAACAACAGTATCTCACGACAAATTGCCAGGCAAAGACATTTTAAATATCACTAATGCCACATTCTCCCCATCCTCTGAATTCAGCAGTCAGCTCATAACAACCGAAAAAGTAATGACAGCCAAAGAACAATCAACTCTATCCTCTTCATTTGTGCTTCCAGTGACAAAGTCGTCTTACACTTTCTCCACCTCTCAGTATCTACCAGATAAATCAGTTTCTTCACCTTCTTTAACACAAGTGATACCAGAAGTAACAACCACACCAAAATATCCAGGAACTAAAACAGTTTCTACAGCATTGAAATCTACATCCCAAAGTATAATAGATACAGTAAAACTTACAGCAGCTACAGCTCAGCCATCCTTTCCTCCATCTTCAGTAGGCCCCTCCTCTTGGCAGACATCTTCAGGAGATAAACTTTCAATACAGACTGCAAAGACCATGGCTATACCACATTTTTCTACTCAGGTGGCTATGGAACTTGGTCATCAGACTTCTGAACCTTCATTGACAAGCCAGAGAAGTACCCCAATTTACCAGTATCCTGCAGAAACTATAGCAAAATCCACTGCTCAGCCACAACATGAGGCTACAGGGGAATTAACTTCCTCGTACTTGTTAATCACCTCACTACCTGAAGGCATTCATTCAAGTATATTGCCTACCTCAGCAGGTTCTACACAAGTTATTTTACCAGGTGAAAAAGAGTTGCATTTAACTGATTCAGTCACGCAGCCATATGTATCAGGAGCTACTTCTGTTTTGCAGTCTACAGTCCCAGTTAGAACAACAGGTGACTTGATTTTTGGCACCAGAATTCTTCCTTCCTCACCAGAAGTACTTGCAGCTTCCTCTTCTTTAGCAACAATTAAAAAAGAAACATTTCCTTCATTTTCCACACTAAAGGCAGGTACTGATCTAAAATTCACATGGCAGGCCTCATTTACTGAATCACTTGATTCAAGTAAAACACTTGAAACAACTACAACTCCACCAGAATCTAAGTCAACCTCTTCATTGGTTTTGTTACCAGAAACAACAGAAAGTCCTATTGTGATGGGGAGTGGGCCATCCACATCAACTGGCAAAAGTGGTACGGAGAAAACTGTGGTATTGCCTAAGCAAGTCACACTTTCAACCACTGCCTACAGTTCCACATTTCTAGCAAGTACAATGTTGTCAGCTATGGCCCATTCATCTGCTGCAGCTTCAGCCTCTTCAATGATAAGCAGTACTGAGCAAAACATTAGTATTGTATCAGCAACTTCAGACAAAGCAGAAGCAGTAACAGAATTCATCACAAGCTCCGTGAAGCCCACCTATTCTTCTTTTACTTCAGAAGCAAAAGGAGCCCTGCCCCTTGATACAGTAAAATCTGAAGAGCTAGAATTAACAACAGAAGTCCAAGCCATCCATACTCAGCATGCTACCATTACCCCAGAAACACCTCAGACGTCTTATTCTCCATATTTCACAAACAGAACTGCAGTTCCTTCTGATGTAGGTGTATCAGCACTGTCTACTATACCTTCATCCTCTGAACCAAAACCTTTTTCTTCTATAGCTGCGTTATCAGTCAGTACTACTCAAACTTCAAAACTTGAAATATCATCTGAGGTGCAAACACCTTCTACAAGTTCGCTGCTAATGATAGCTGACCATCCAAGTGACACAACAGCTCCATCAGTTTCCTCGTTTGCCTATTTATCTACTGAACCACTTTATGGCTTGACTACAACAACTTCTGATGGACTGGCAACAGCTGAAGCCATGTCAGGAGTCACAGCATCAGCTTTTATGCTGGCTAGAGAAACAGCAACTCTTCAAACTTGTACAGTGAGTAACTATAAATATTTATCTCTTTGGTTTTGAATATGTCTTGGTTACTTTTACACGCTGATAAAACAAATTGTGAGCCATACTGTGATCTCTAGGATTTAAAATACCGGTATCAAACAGGGAGCCCTATTGTTTTCTCAATTATATCTGCAATTTTGGATGATTTCGTTGTGCATAGTGGTTTCCATAAGTGCTATAATATACTGTACATTTTGGGCCTCAGTTTTCTGAGTGTGACTTACAAGAATGGGTTTTTGGCAAAATATGGTGTTTCATATTGTTCAATGGCAGGTTTTTGTCACATTGCCCTCCTTTAAGTACGTCTTTCCCGAGAGCCCTGTTATTATTCCTACCTGTGCCCTTCCATGCTTTTCCTTCTCAATTTCTTTTAATGTAAATTTAAAAACTCAATAGTGCTGTTCTCCACTTTACAACAGGACAGCAGCTTTAAACTGTCCTCAGAATGGTCAGGTTTTCAAGGGTGCTCTTCACTTGTAGCTTCCATCAGCAACACAGGGATTCATAAGTATTCTGTACCTGAAGAATGTGAGTGTGAGCCCCCATTTTGAGCAAATACTCTGTAATATTGTGATACTAGCTTGGTAAGAATGGTAACCCGTGTCTTTTATTAAATATGCCTTAGCCAATCACAGAGAATGAGTGCATAAAACACATTTGCTTGGATGGACGACTGATCCAAGTTAATAAGTCGCAGAACTGCCCATACAATGCAACTCAACCCAGCTGTGGAGTTTTAGGATTTGCTACTCAAATGAATGGTGACAAATGCTGCCCAAAGTGGGAATGTGCATGTAAGTTTTAATTATGGAGTACTTCTGAAGTGAATTTAGGTAACAATTTAATGCATGTGTAAGAAGGCTAAGAATAGACATTTCTATACCATGGTATAGAAATAGAAGATGCATATTGTACGGGTTACTTACTGTCTAATGCAATTTATAATTCTAGTTCTACATACAGGGAAATTAAATCAAAAATATCCTTTAATGTAGGATATTCCTCTTTAGGTATCTGCAGTGGACATGTCTAGGTCTGATTTAGACTCATCTTGTCTTCTGTCTAATCAGAGGATACCAAGTCAATATAGTCAGTGGGGTTTTTGGTTCATCTTATATCTACTTCTGGATACGAAGATTCCCCAGACTCTCTTAATTAGCTGTGTTAACAGTCTGGGGACTCTGGAAGCATAGCTTTTCTGTAGTCACACCCATCAGTTACCTAGAAATGGGCAGGAAGTATCCAAACCTTAAAAAAAAATTTATTTAGTCCGTAATAGCAAAGACAGGATGTACAGATAAGCAATGCAAATTTCTGCTTAAGCTCTGGAGTTTGAAATAACTAGGAGTATTTGAAACACAAAAGTTTTAGCAATAAGACTGGGAAGAAGGAAACTTTCCACATGATCTCCTGCCTTAGGAACAAGACTAGATGGGAACTAAAGATCTGGCATGATCCACTGTCATTCATGTTTTTTTTCTTGTTTTGGGTTTGTAAAAATTAGAAAACTTTGCTGGCAAGAACTGTAAGAAAACTGATTGCAGGGGCCTGTAGGTTGTCCCACTGAAATATTCAGCATTTGATTCTGCTGTCCGTTTACAGAGGAAAAGCAGCATCAAATATAGCTGAAATTATGTGGTCCATATATGAAACTCTAGTAAGCTACTTAATCTTCTAAAATTTATTGGTGTATCTTCATATTTTGTAATATTTACAAAAGTTCCAAATAAGTTAGAAAAAACATTTAATTTATTTTTATTTTTCTTAGGTCGTTGCACAATTTTCTCTGATCTGAGCATTGTAACCTATGATGGAAATCATTTGGCTTTATTCAAAGAAGCATCCTATGTTGTTAGTCAAACTCGAGATGAAACCATAACCATCCATGTCCTTGACTGTAGAATGGTAACTAACATTTATCAGCTAACAAATGGTGTTCAGTACTCCTAATAAGATGTATCTTAAAAGAAAGGGCATAGTAATACTGCCTAGTTGTGGTTAATTATTCACTTCTGTGCAATATCTATGAATTGCACTTGCACCTTACAACACTTATGAATTGTATAGCTCTTTATCACCTGACTCTAGATGCGTAGCTCCTTCTGAAACAGCCAGAAGGTGAAAGGTAGGTCCGTGTTATTATATATGTAAAAAACAAGGTGGTGAGAGATAAAGTGGATATACATTTATTAGTCACTTCTGTGAATGCCATCACATAGTAAGTACCACCATGGTGTACCAGTGTATCACCAGTGTATTTCAGTGCACAGTTTTATCTATGTTAATGTGGAGAAATTTGCACTGGAATCTTCAGAGCTATAAAAGACTGTAGGATTGTCAGAGTAAATTAGACCACCCTGTGCATTCCAAGTCTCTGACAGGAGGAAATACTACTTGTTTCAGAGAGGGAAGAGCGAAACCCCAATGGGTATCCTGCCTAATGAGCAGTGTAGATTGGCTTTATGTTATGAAGAGTTAATTTCGCATGAGCCTTTACAAAACTCTTTCAACTCCAGCCTCTTCTATGAAATCTAGGTAATTTTGATGTCCATATAAGTGTCCAGCACAAAGCTTGGTCCCAAGTAGTACCTTATGGAAGTTAATTCTAGAAGCTTAATATAATTGATCTGAAAATGGGGATCTGTTTATGACTTTCAGATTTGTTTTTCTGTTGTTTTCAGTTTTTTCTGTTACATTCAGCACCTTGTTGCTTGGGAAGTATGTATGTACTTCTGATCCATTATTTCTATAGTGTTCATGTATCATATAGATTCATCATTCCCAGTCTCATTCTTGCTTACCTTCAGATATGTAGTTCATATTTTTCGGTGTCCAAACAGCTAGTCCGCTGTATTTTTTTTTTTTCCTGAAAACCTTTATTTATGTTGTAACTTCAATATTGGGTGATATAACACAGTTGCTGAACACAACGAGATCATAATATTTTGTTTGTTTATTTTTGCAAGAATACTATCTATATGAACTTTGTAGTCCAGACTTGAAACTACAATCAGCAGCAGCTTTCCTTTCTTAAAATATACGCATCCTGTCCTCCCCCTGCCCTGTTCCCGCCAAAATCCTTAATGTCCTAGTACTTAAAACCACTAATCAGCTATGCATGACTATGGTTGATGTATTTTTGCTTTCTCCACAGAGTAATTCAAATTCAACTTCTTTGTGCTTGGCAATGTTGAATTTAACCTATGTATCAAACCAAATTATTATCAATCGTTTAAGTAGAAAAGTAAGTATTTTGAAGGTTTGTTTTTCTTTGCCTTTTAGATAGCATCTACTCAAATCAATTGCCTCCTCATGTGGATACTCAATATTAGAGTAGGACACGATAAGTAATATAAATCATTGTTCTAACTTTGTAATTTAGTAAATTGCTTGTAAATGCAAAGAGTCAGAATGTGATACAAGGACAGTTAATAAGGTAAGTCACAGAGCAAGGCACATAAACTGTTAGTCTCTTTAGTACCTGAATTATCTTTGTGGAGGTGAGCCTGACTTCTTTTGAAATTAGTTATGAGTTAGATTCCTAAGCTGTCAAGAATCTGGCCTTAGTTCTTCTACCTACAGCAATTGGTGCCTGACATTTAACCTCTTTTCTGTGTGTATTTTAGATAACAGTAAATTCAAGATTTGCTTGGCCTACTGTTAGAAAATATGGGTACAAAGTCGAGGATTCGGGCTACAAGTATGCAGTTGAGACCCCAACAAAAATCAGAATTCAGTGGTTTCACCACACAGGTGTGATGATAATTGAGTTTAATAGTACCAGAGAACCAAGAGCTTTGGGACTATGTGGTAAGTATAGAGTAGTGCAAGAAATAAAGGCATTCAGATGCTTTTCTAGTGAAACATGTTTTCCTAATTATATAAATAATCTTTTGCAGGATCTGGCCCAAAAGAGTTATTGCAGATCATTGCAAAGTTTAAGATACTATTAAAATTAAATTATTATTAATTTAATTTGTAAATTGTTGAAATGATGTTTGATACCTATTCATGTAATCACTTTTACCCACCCATAGTGTTGCTTTTGTCTGAAACCTGATTGAATCATAGCCATGATTGCTGTAACCAAACCCAAGTAAGTCAGTCAGGCATAAATCCATAATGTCAAATAAGGTCATTTACAGATTTAGTGTTTGATATCCATCTGATAGGAAGCGATATGTGCTATTTTCAGTTTCTAAAGGTCAGAATTCACAGGAAATGTTAACTTCAGAGAACTAATCTTAGTTTATCTGCTGGAGGAAATAGTTCGGAGGGAATTTCTTAATCATAATGGGTTAAATAACCACAGTGTTGCACTCTGTTAGGTCTGCTCAATAGTTTCACATAGTTTCTTTCTTTCTGAAAAATAGCCTTGAAAAAGCGCTTAGTGCTATAGCTTTTGCAAGTATGTATTTGTTGATGTAAATCCCTACTGTGACACCTGAATCTGTAAATTTATCTGCTGTAAATTGGAACTGGAAACCAGGATTACAGAGTTCATATAATTACAGTGGATATCTTTCCAGTTTCAGAAAGGGCAAATGCCTGTAGCTCAGTATCAAATACCAGTGATAGCTCAGTCCGGTTCCAAGTCCTGCAGACAGTAATGTGCTTCTCGCAAAGGAAGAGAGTTTGAATTTACTGCCATTTTGAAATTGGATTATTATGTGTAATTTGCACCAACTCATTTTCAACATAATTCTTGCTCTGTTTGGCTAATCGTTATTGTAATTAGATCAAACAGAAACAAGAAAGTAAAGACTATTTTTTTAGTAAGCCTGATTCGAGTTGTCATGGAAGTCTCTTTTGCCTTTACCTGTTTGATTACTGTGATAGGGAGAATTGGGAACATTACATTCCTGGTTTACAAGGTGCTTTATCTAGATGACAACACATTTCTGTGGATGGTGTTCCAAGTACAACTTCTTCAGAGAATATGCTGTATTTTTCTGGTATTCATCTCTGATTGGGATTCTCCGCATAGATCTGCCCTGCACAGTGCTGTCTGGTGTGACTTACCAGAGCCTGCTTTAAATGAACTGGTTGTACTACATCTTTTCAGGATGAATTAGTCTACTCTGATCTCCTGTGCTTTCTGTGTTAGTCTGCTTCTTGTATTTGAGCTTTCTCAGATGTCTTTTGGCTGAACTGAAGTATTGGTAGATCATTATTTCTCAGTTTCATGGAAATGATAAAACTGAAGGCACCATTACAGTTTTGGAGCAGCAAGCATCCTTTGGAAGGATCTGTGTCAGAGGCAATGGTGTCTTTTACAGTGGAAGGATCGGGCAAATGTGGCAGCTGGTGAAGAGCTGGTGTGGGAGATGAGGGATGTAGGAAGGGAACATGGACGTCTCTATAGCAAAACTGGTGAAAGAGAGTAGAAGCATGTCAGTTTTAGCTGCAACCAGATTCTGCCAAGCCAAATGCGAAGCCTTAGTTTTGCTGTGTTAAGTCTCCTTGTCAATGTGTAAGAGAAGGGGTGGAAAAAGATATCCCAGACATGACAGCAATCCTTTGAAGTCTTGCAGAACCATCAAGTACTTCCTATTTGTGTTGCATAGACTCACAACCACAAAAAGTTCAACCAGAAACTTTTTTGGTCAAATAATGGTTACAGTTTCAAAAGCTGTTTTACTCTCTGAATGCCTGTTGCTGTATGACTGATTGGCAATGGCTTGCTCATGTCGTCAAGAATTGGTGAAAAATGGTAAAACAGATCAGTTCTCTAGAAAAGGTTAAATCCACGAGTAGTTTTTGAACAGATAAGACTTAGAATTGCCATGCAAGCTTGTGGAGGCATCAGAGGAAAACATTCTAGAAGTCTGATACTAAAGTCTCAGAAACTGTGATTAGGAAGAAAGAATGGGGGGACTGATCCCTCATTCTGCCTTTTTGTACCTGCTGGCTCGTAAAGGACCTTCCCGAGGAGACTGCTGTAAAACTTGGGTGTTCTGTGCTGACCAAAGTCACTCTCCATGTGTTACAGTACTTCCTTCGCTCCAAAGTGTTTCAAAATTGCCAACTACCTTAGTTCAAACAGAAACAAGGTGTGATGCTGCCTTCTGAGAAGTGAATACAGTCAGGTTTGCTTTTTTCCTGCTGAGGAGTAATAAAAGTATACCTGGAAGTGCCAAAAGCTGCGCTTTTGTGGTAGCTCTTAAGCCAATAGATGTGTAAGACTGCTCAGAAGCATAAGTAGAATAGTACAGTATTTCTGAAGTACAGTATCAGATAAGCATCTTGGCATTCCCTTTTCTGATATCATTTACAGTTTTCATTTGTCACTATATGCGGAGGTGCTTTGTAACCTCTTTTAAAATACGTTTTTGTTTACTGCTTGTGCAACTGAGGGGTGATGCTTGTGTGCCATAGCTGGGCTCTCCGAACAGCTGTTTGATATGCAATAGATGTCCTTTCACCCGTCTTAATTCATAGATACATCTTTACGTTTGCTTTGCTTATTTTGTCTGAATTCTGTGTGGTTTGATCCTACCAGACTTTCCACATCTGTTGTGGGTTGTGATACTGTCATGTTGTGTAAGTTTTTTAAAAGCTATTTACTTGGTTGAATATGCCACTTATACTTCAGAATGAACTGTGCGGTGTTAACCTGCTTTTTTCTTCTGGTAATGCACAGGTTTTTGTGACAGAAGCTTGGAAAATGACCTGATGCTACCCAACAGGACAGTTCTAAGCAAAAGTGACTCTCCATCGACTTTTATAGACAGCTGGCAAGTGCCAGACACGTTAAAGTATGTTGGAGAAGACAGGCATCAGGAAACTAATTGCTCAGTCATGGACTGCTCAGAATGCTTAAGACTGGTGTTGAACCAGACCTTCAGCAGCTGTCATCCTTACGTATGTTAACTATTTTGGAAGCTTACATTTTGAGAGAGATGTTAGTTCTGATTACAATTTTGTATACTTGATAATTTCATTAATGTGAAACTACATGTAACCACATCTGTGGAATGAGATAGATACTATTTTGTATCTACAGTTGCAAGGTAAAAATAATTGAAGATTGTGTCAGCTTGATAGGAGAGTTGCAAATAAGCAAGTAATACTTTCAGATTTCATAATATATTTCTGTTAGTTTTGACAATACGATCT